GGTGAAATGGGATTGATCAATCATCAATCATAAAGCCAATTACAAAATGTGGGGTGGTTTATGATCACAACAAGAAATGATGCGAGGGAGTAAAAGATCAGAAAAATATGAAAGAAGGAACCTTTGAAGGCCTTTTTGAGCTGCTCACAGTCTTCGGATGCAGGAGGAACCTGTTGAGGAACTCTAAGGGTCGACATCGTCACTATTGCTCTCTCTCTGTAAGAAAATGGAAAACGAAAATGGCTCTGGTCTATGAACCTCTGTTTCTATATTTTATATATATATATGGTGTTTGGTAGCTATCCACATATAGTAATATAGTATGGCCCTTGCAATTATCGCCACGTCAAATACTATATTTGTTCCTGTTATATTGGTCTTGGTAATTTAATTTTCACAATTGAATTGTTTATTAATGATTTTGGGGTGATTTACAATTTCAAATTCTCGTCTGTATTTGCTGCTACACAGAGTATATAAAATTACTAAACAAAATCCTTGTCTGATTTCATTTTGTTTTTCCTCACTAGGATAAACAAACTGTAAAACGTCCTAGATAAAGTATACATAGAGCCATAGCATAGCGCACAAGTGCATGAAATAAATTACAAGAAGGAAACATCTATGGAGAATCTTTCTAAATAGAAGACACAGGAAAAGTGAAATGTGCATAAAAAAGAAGCACATTCTGATCAGGTAGCCAAAGGATCAAGAGCAAGCATGTCATCATATGTACCGGCTTCGACAAATGCAGCATCTGAGTTGAGTGGAAATGAGAAACTTGTTTCATGTTGGACGAGATTTCGGGCTGGAATCCAAGCATGAAAATGCAATCTTCACAAGAGAGACCACTTCGCGTGCAACTTGATGCGTACGAGGGGAAATGCGTTGGTCCAAAACATCCACAATTGGTATTTGATGGGCTGGTAATGCAGACGATGATAAGGAGGAGGAGGATGAAGAGACTGATGAGAAAGATGAGAAAAGATCTCCAGGATGCTTTCCCATAATTATTTCCAATGTGACCACACCAAAGCTATCAACATCGCAGTTCTCATTCACTTCCTTTGTGTTAGCAAGCTCTGCTAAGAGAAAACCTCAGAGAAATGGCATTATTAGTTTATAGACATAACTATTCAATGGAATTTTAACGAAACTATATCATGCATAAATCGGTAAGGCTTGTTAGATCACCTAGTGATCCTGGAATTGAACCATTAAGCTGATTCTCAGACAAATCTAGCTCCACAAGATTTCAAGTTTCCTATTTCATAAGGAATATCCACAAAAAATTTATTTTCATATAGATAAAGAATGGTAAGATTTCTCAAGAGGCCGATTTCTGGTGGGATCCTCCCAGACAATTGATTGTCAGAGAGGTCAAGATAGATGAGTTTGGAAAGGTAACTGATTTGAGGTGGGATGGTATCAAAGAGTTTGTTCACGCTCAGGTTAAGTTGTTCAAGATTAGGGAAGGAAAAGAATGGAAATTCATGTAGCGTACCTTGTATACCACAAGTGGAAAGGTTTATCGTGCTGACACTTCCAGCTGAGTTGCATGAAACACCGGCCGAAGTGCATGGGATTGTTTTGTGTTTTGCATTGCTGGAAGAATTGGTGGCATTTTGAATGGGAGGGTACCAGGTGAGATTATTGAGGGCTTGATTTTGAAATAAGCTGGCTTTCCATTTGAGAAGAGCCTTTGCTTCAGTATCAAAAGCAAAAGCAACCCAATTTGGTGATGAAATATACAACAAGATCACAAGGCAATAATAAGCTAGAAAGCATACTTCACCAGAAGTTAAAGATCTCATTGTTATTTGTTGTTTGAGTGGAAGCCTCTGTCCTTTTTAAAGTTGGAATTGCAACGTTTGCATTTTCTCAAAGCATGCTTAACTGAAAGTGAGCTTGCAGGACAGAGCAAATGGTCCTGTCACGACTAGAACAATTCAAGCAAAGCATGCTTCTTGCTCTGATTTAGTGGAAAAATTAATTCACTCTAGCTGTCCCCAACAAATCTGAAGAAGAATAACTCGTCAATTTAATTTCACCCAAGCCATTCATTTCCATCCTTTTTTCTTTCTATCTATTATCTCTGAATGAAAACCAATTTGCAAAATAAAAGTGATTTTGTTTTTGTTTTAAAAAACTATTGAAGGTTTTCATTTTTCTTGCCCTCCTTTCTCGTTAACCAATTCTACTCCACCACTACTATTGAAGGTTTTCATGTTTCTTCCTTATTTTTCTTGTACTCCACCACTTATGCATTGTACTCCAGTCCCAAAACCTGGCCTGTTGTCCCCTGAATCTGCCCTTTGATAGGATTTTTAGTACCTGCGCAAACAGGGTTAAAATCACTTAAAATACTTGCAAGAATACAAGGTTATTGTAGTATAGATGCTCATGCAAGGTCGTTGTCCCCAAAGATTGTTTGACTAATTTGTAATTAAACTAACTTTTAATTAATAACTAAAATAGATTTTATCAAAGATGTGAAATTTATGAATTTGAAAAGATTAACTTGACAATAAAAGAAATCTGAAAGTTGGGAGGTAATAATAGCAGAGAATAAAAACGTTTTTAAAATTAACAATATAGAGAGAAACTAGGGTTTAGCCGTCGCAGTCACAATTCTATGCAACTCTATCAATTACTTATGAATTTCCACACATTTGCTTTGAAGGTTAGGTTTTCCTAATGTATATTCTCCTTGTGATGTTCAAACGAAAACGTATATCTAACATGCAATCCGTCTGTGATGTTCATATCAAATATAAACATGCAAGACTCATTAAGCTTTGTGAAAACCCTTTGAAAAACCATGCAACGAGCGTGATGTTCGCCTTAAGTGAACTTACAATTACTAATCACAAGAAGCCCTCCTCAATTTCAGGGTGATGTTCCAACAGAAATTGCATCAAATTACTTGTCTAAATATCCTAAT